GCTGTCATCAAATTCTGTTTTGCCGACAAAAACACACCAATTTATTTTGTTTATAAATGACACCCTCAGTTAAAGTTTTTTTAGCGATAAATGAGAATTTCGCCCCAAAAAGAAAGGGTTATAAAAGTTCAAGTGCACTGAAGAGGAAGACATTGATGCTTTGCTATGGCCCCTACAGACGCCGTTGATGTCCAGTCAAGGATTTTTTTTAAATAGTTAGTAGCAGTATGAAATGGGTTTTAGTAAACGGTCATTTTGGTAGAATGAATGTCATATTTAGATGCTTCCAAAATCGAATGTTCCATGGACTGGCAAAAAAATATTGTAGTAGCTTTATTCGCATGACGCCATCCATTTTTATAAATCGTTATATTTTTCCATTTATATTGAATTTTTCCAGCCGTGTAATTTTAATATTATAAGACAAGTCACAAAGTAAAAATTTATGAACTAGAATTGAAGATATGGTACCCTTCAAAATTGGGAACATCACTTATTTTAGAAATTGGATACGCAATTCTGTTTTTTTCAGCAACATATTTAAGTACAAATTGGAGTTGAGGTCTTCCCGGTTATTTATTTGCATTATTCACATTACATCGTATGTTTATATTCATAGAACATTTGTAACAGGGCAAAAGGAAACGAGATCGACCGGATGGTTCCTGTTGAGAATATGCATAGAACCACTTTCTGTGTAGATATATGTATGTCAGTCCGTCTGCATGTATGTCCATGTTAAATTGTAAACAAAGTATGATCCGAATGAGATAAATTTTGACACAACTAATAACCTATTGTAATTGGAGAAAAACAGTTCAGATTTAGATATAGCTCCTAAATGCATTTTCGTCTGATTTTACGTAAAACTATTAGATTTCTTTCGATTTACATGAAATTGTGTGTATCGTATTAATCCGAGTCTAAAATGATGTGTGCTAAATTTCGTTGAAATCGGTTTAGACTTAATTATAGCTCCCATATATCTATAATAATACAATGACTGATTCATTGACTGACTGACCGAACGATTCATCAACGCTCAGATAAAACGGCTGAAGCTAGAATCTTGAAATTTGCGGTTAGGGTCACTCGTGGTCCAAAAGTGTCAGATAAGGCTGGGTTTTTGGAAATCCGTACTAGAACGGCTCGAATATTACTAAATTTGGAACCATTTGTATTTGGCGAACCGGTGCAGTCAGAATTCTGAAATTTGGATTGAGGGACATTGATGGAGAGTAGAATATGGACATTCGAACTATAAGTATCCGAAAAATACTAAAATGTACTAAATTTGTTACAATTTCGTAGTATGTGAACGAATAAAGCTAACAACTTGAATTTTTGAATGCGAATCAAGGTTGAGATGTATGGTCGATATAAGAAGCTAGTTTTGAAAGCGTGTACTCATGTATACGAAAAATACTAACTGTACTAAATTTCATAAAATTTGAAGCTGGACTCCTGAAATTTTGAATTAACACTACCGTCGAAGTGTAGGATAGTTTTGGAAATATGTACCCAAGTGCACTAAATGGTACTATATTTGGGACAATTTGGATTTTGGAATCAGTTAGAGTCACTGTTAATTTGTACTAATAGTACCAAATATGTATTTGGATGAACCGTTAGATCGAGAACAGAGAAATTCGGAAATAAGATTGCTATTGGAATGTAGGATCGGTATATGACTATAGTTTTGGAAATTCATGTTTATGGGTATTAAACATTATTAACTTTAGACATATTTAAATAATTCTCACATCCACTAACAAAGGCGCGGGCATATGATATATATTTACAGCCCACAGTTAAATTTTCTTCCGATTTTTTGTTTGTACAAAGCGCTGTATTGCAGCAGCATACAGCTCTGGTACATACAAATTTGCATTGATTTCAGAATGACATGTGTATGGATTAATTATACCCTACACAACTATGTTGTCAGGGTATTATAGCTTTGTGAAGCCCCAAGAGTTTGTAACGCCGCGAAATATTGGTCCTAGACCCACCATTAAGTATACCGATCGCCATATTTCGACTAGCTGAGTCGATCGAGACATGTGTGTCCGTCCGTCTGTTCATTATAATTTGTAAACACGATACAGGCCACAGTTATGGATCAATTTTCACCAAATTTTGCATGGAGGATAGGTTCGGCCCAATGAAGACCACTATTGTTTTTGGTAAAGATTGGTTAATATTTAGAGGGTTGAAATGGACCAAATACTTTATTTTTGTCGGTTTTATGGTCGCTCCAGAGGCCGCAGTTATGGTTCGAACATCGTGAAAGAAGAGGATTGTGCCAAAGAATAATCATGCCGGTTTTGATAAAGATCGGTCAATATTTAGCGGGTCAAACGGATCCTGACTTTTGTGTGAAAAATTACAAAATTTTTATTGTGGTGCGTATATACTTGCCCCTGAAGGACATATATCCGAGAAGTTGATAGTATATCCAAGAGGAGTTGTTGACCTTCAAATTGATATCAAACTTATGGCTGCATGTACTCTGATGTGGGAGTTATACGTAATTAGGTAAAGGTGACTATGTGCATAGTATTACTATTACTCCATTAGAGGACGGAAATGTCGCGCTGATAGCTTGGAAATTGTACAGGAACTTCCGATTATGGTCAAGGACGACGCCTATAGTTTTCGGTGAAGTTTAGATTTCATTCAGGGGGTGCAATGAACCATTAACTTAAATTTTGTCAGATTTTCTAGTCGTTCTAGAGGCAATTATTATATGCAGAACATCACATATTTTACAAGGTGAAGGGGGTCTGACCAAATACTTAGTGCGGCTGTTTAGATAATGATCGGTCAATATTCCGAGGCTAAAACCTAAAGTGACATCTTTTTTTTACGGCGTAAAACTTAACTTCAAGAAAAAACCAGTAAGGAAAGTAGTAAAGTCGGACGGGGCCGACTATATGATACCCTTCACCACTTTGGGTATATTCTACATATGTATCCAACAGACATATCTTGTTATTATTATAGACGTAATTCAGTATGCTATGCTAAATTTCGTGCAAATCGAAAGATATATAGGGTCTTTGATATACCAATTACCGTAAATAATATATATATATATAGGAGCTATATCTAAATCTGAACCGATTTTCAGAAAACTCTGCACACATCATTCAAGACTTAATTCAGTACGCTATGCCAAATTTCTTGCAAATCAAAAGATATATAGGGACTTTAGTGGACTATTTACCTAAAACCGGGCAAACTGTATATGGGAGCTATATCTAAATCTGAACCGATTTTCACGAAACAATGCACACATCATTCTAGACTTAATTCAGTACGCTACGCCGAATTTCGTGCAAATCGAAAGATATATAGGGACTTTGGTACAACATTTACCTTAAATCGGTCGAAAATATATATGGGAGCTATATCTAATTCTGAACCGATTTTCACGAAACTTTGCACACCTCATTCTAGACTTATTTCAGTACGCTATGTCAAATTTCGTGCAAATCGAAAGATATATAAGGACTTTGGTACACCATTTATCTTAAATCGGAGGAAGATATATGCGGGAGCTATATCTAAATCTGAACCGATTTTCACGAAACTTTGCACACATCATTCTAGACTTAATTCAGTGCACTATGCCAAATTTCGTGCAAATCGAAAGATATATAGGGACTTTGGTACGCCATTTACCAAAAATCGGGAGAAACTATATATGGGAGCTATATCTAAATCTAAACCGATTTTCACGAAACTTGGCACACATCTTTCGTGGCTCAATTCAGTACGCTATGCCAAATTTCGTGCAAATCGAAAGATTTTCATGGTCTAAAGTCCGTAAATCGGTCGAAACTATATGTGGGAGCTATATTTAAATCTGAACCGATTTTCACGAAACTTGGCACATATCTTTCGTGGCTCAATACATTACGATATGCCAAATTTCGTGCAAATCGAAAGATTTTCAGGGTCTAAAGTCCGTAAATCGGGCAAAAATATATATGGGAGCTATATCTAAATCTGAACCGATTTTTCCCAATTTCAATAGGGTTCGTCCTTGGGCCAAACAAATGAGCTGTGCCAAATTTCATCCAAATCGGATCATAAATGCGACCTGTACTTTGTTTACAATTTAACATGGACAGACGGACAGACGGACGGACGGACGGACATGCATAAATCGACTCAGAAAGTGATTCTATACATATTCTCAAAAGGAACCATGGGTCTATCTCGATTATTTTTGCCTGTTACAAACATATGCACAAAGACATAATACCCTGTACCACAGTGTGGTGAAGGGTATAAATATTGGAATATATGCCAGTGTTAGAAGGTGAAGTTTTTGATCTATAATCGGTAGAAAGGATGCAAATATCTCGAAATATTGCCCAGGCTCAGAATACAGAACCGCAGAAAGTTTGATTTTCGTCAAATGTCAAATGGACCAATGGACTTTTTTGTAAACAATTACAACATGTCCCAAATCGAAAAGCTAACATGCGTAACTATAGCTGACAGACGGGCATGCCAAAATCGATAAAAAAAAGTATTTTGATGAGGAGGGTAATAAATCAAGTACCAAATTTCAGACTCAAATTGGAGCCTTTAAAATATAATCAGACTTACATTGAAAATGGTACGCAAATATGATTTTCAATCTTCAATAAACCGGAATGATGATGGAGTTTTGTAAACAAAAATCAATCTTCAAATATATAAAGACGTCTTTCGAACTAACTAAATATCATATAAGTCTTTTCCTTTTCACTCTATAAATATTTTCCATTTGAAATTAACTATCGACCTTATTTACTTTTGAATTAAATTAATGCAATGCAAATAATGCAATAAATATGTCATCTAAATAATGTATTCTCTTAAATTTAGTTTACCTTGATTGTTTTAAAAAAATCTAACTTTATTATTTTATAATGCAAATAAATTAATTTTATCTAATTGAAATAATTTATATCATTCCCCCCCCTTATTTCTTGTCATTACAGAAAAGTTGCACAAAGTGTAGGAGATATTATTGTACAATTGGACGTATTCGACGAGCAGAGAGAATGCGACGAAGCCCAAAGCCTACAAGGCCCAAATGGCATCAATCTAAACTCACATCTTGACGTCTTCTATGCAATATTGAGACAGGTATGTAAAATAGGATTGCATTGCCCTTCCCCTCCTTTAATTCGTGGCAGAACACAAAAGCACAATTGCTGCAACAGATTGCAATTAATGCAACAAGTGTCACTGTTCTTAGATATACTCGTACAGAATTAAGCGTTTATTTTTTCCCTGTTGATTGGCCATTTGTTGATTAATAGCAGAGACAAAAACAAAACAAAACCTGAACGCTGCTAAACAACAATTAAAGTAGTTTTGCAATTTATTTACCATATTTGTACATAATTTGTCAAGGTTGTTTGTAACAAAAAAATAATAATAACAACAACAACAAAGCAACAGCGTTGAGTTGTTATTATTATTGTATTTGTTACTGGCGTCTCAACATGCAATTCACACTTATGTCTATTTGTCTCCATATATATTCATCTGTTACATATACGTATGTGAACAAAGTGTGTATAATATTAGGTAGAAATTGAAATCCTTACAGTGGGGGATACAATTAATGGAATACCCTATCCCACAATAAAATGTATGATTAAAAATTTTGGATCTCAGATACAAATAATATATAGAAGATATACAGAAATCGGATGCCATTTGAAGTAAAACAAGTGAAAAAGCGTTAAGTTCGGCCGGGCCGATACCCACCATTGATATACTGACAGGTACTAAAAAAATATAGGGAACATACCAAAAAGTGGACCTATACCAGCATTTCTAAAAACGGATTATGTAAACCTTAATACAAATTTCAGAAATTTATTTAAAATTTATTTATAATGGGTAATTATACCCTCAGCATTATGGCTAATGAGGGTGTATATACTTTAACACGGCGAAATGTGCCTCAATGTGGTTCTAGACCCCATGCTTCTTTGGACCAAATCCGTTTCAGAAAATTTAGATTTCATCCAAACTTTGCCCATCTTATTATTTCTCCAAACTTAGTTCAAATTCGAAGATGGGGAAAATCGGTCCACTCCTTCTGAAACCTCTACACAGAGACTAGGTCTAAATGCGGCTATAGTTCATTATCAAACCTTACGTTCTAATTTTTTATCTCTCTATCCTCCGCAGTTGAAATGATTACAAAAGGGTCTTAGAACCAAACTCAAAACGCGGATCAGATAACTATTTTAATATAAAAAAGGGGGTTATATGGGGACTACCCCAAAAAGGGGGCGAATATTAAAATTTTTTGGTAGGGAGATTTGTTATCATATACGACTACAAAATACTAAATTGCAGCAAATTCGATTGAAAAACGCGCTCAAGAACCTCAAAATACCGAAAATTGGGGGCTACCAGAAAAAGTGGACCTAAAGTTATAATTTTTAGTTGAGAAATTTGGTATCCAAAAAGAACCCATTTTACCAAATTTCAGCGAATTTAATTGAAAAACACTCTCGAGAACCCCAAAATACTGAAAATTTGGGGGTACCCTTATATGGGAGGTATGGACCGATATAGCCCATCTTTGAACTTGACCTGCCTGCAGACAAAAGACGAATCTATGCAAAATTTTGGCGTTCTATCTCAATTCGTTTAGACGCTAGAGTGATTACAACAGACTGACGGACATGCTTAGATCGTCATAGAATTTTACGCTGATCAAGAATATATATACTTTATATGGTCGGAAATGATTATTTCTATGCGTTACAAACGGAAAAACAAAACTAATGTACCCTCCATACTATGGTGGAGGGTATAAAAAGTTGAGCCGATGTGGATGAAAATTGACTTAGGTACCCCCGCAGTTTAGTATTTCCCAGGTACCAGCCGCAATTTATAATTCGCACTTCGGACTTTCACAGCTTATCTTGGGATATAGCCTATGGTCGATTTTCATACCCTCAACCTTAAGGCGGAGTGTATATTAATATGGATTGACAATAGGTAGCAATGCTCCCTACTAAAAAATTGTCCTTTTTAAGGTCTCTCATTAAAGGGTTCCGCCCAAATTTCGTTATGTTGGGCATGTTTTTTAAACGTATTGCCTATAATTTTGGTATTTTGAATTCACATTGGGTAGCACATCTTCATACCAAAAATTATCGATTTTGTCCACGTGGCTTTAATTTTGTGTTTAATAAGAGTCAAATCTCCCTACATAAAATTTCTATGGTGTTGGCCGCAATATAAAAAATGCCCGAAAAATTGCGGATATTTAAAACTTCCACGTCATGGTGGAGGGTTTCATTTATAGAAAATCACCCAAAAATTTACAACTTACGTGGCTGTAATTTAGGATTTTCAAAATCTATAAGACCTCCTTGCAAAGAATATCCAATATATGTACACATATCCAATATAGGTACATATCCCGCACATTTTATAATCTGCTCAAATTTTCGAACTTTAGAATGTTGGAGTCTCGATATAAAACAAACCTATTAGATTTTTAAATTGCCTTACTATTCTGCTCTATTTTGCGGGGTTTTAAATATGTGTCTTTTATATGCTGCATTTATATACCCTACGTAAAAGAAAACAAGTGAAAAAGCGTTAAGTTCGGCCGGGCCGAACTTTGGATACCCTCCACCATAGTTATACTGACAGATACATGCAATGAAAATATAGAGAACATACCAAAAAGTGGGCATATACCGATAATTCTACAAACCGATTTATGTAAACCATTATGTACACCAAATACAAACTTAAGCAATCTTTTATGGGGATTTTTCCTAAAATCTGTAAGATCCAAAAAGTGGACTGATACTGATAACGCATGGTAGAGTATAAAATCCTCAAACTACTGTAATTTAGATTAAAGTTATATGAGGGTATGCCTAAAGGGGGACCAATATTGATTACATAGTGTAGGAAATAGTGAATATTTGGGGATATCATTATATGAGGGCTATGCCTAATTAATGACCGGTATATGCCAATTTTGAACCCAATATTTTAATTGTTTATCTCAATTATTTCCTTCTGGAGGTATCACTATATTGAGGAGATGCCTAAATGTCTGCCGATATATTTCATTATAGTCATGTTTGAGTTTTTTTTTTATCACAATATATTTAGAAGGCGGAATGCTTACAACAGATAGCTAAATAGTCTTTGTAGGGTAAAAACTGACTATTCCCCATGACGACTACCCAACCGCAACACACGGAACAAATCATATAACTATTTTAATATAAAAAGGGTGATATATGGGGACTGCCCCTATAAAGGGGTGAATAATAATTTTTGGTGGGGAGATTTGTTACCATATACGACTACAAAATACCAAATTTCAGCGAATTCGGTTGAAAAACGCGCTCTAGAACCTCAAAATATCGAAAATTGGCGTTACCCTTATATGGGGGCTACCCGAAAAAAATTGACCTATATTTATAATTTTTTGTGGAGAGATTTGCTACCCAATAAGAACTCAATTTACTAAATTACAGCCAAGTCGGTAAAAAATCCGGTCAAAATCCCCCAAAAACTGGAAATTGGGAGGTACCCTTATATGGTGGCTGCCAGAAAAAGTGAACCTATATTTATAATTTTTAGTGGGGAAATTTGGTACCCAATAAGAACCCCATGTAGCAAATTTCAGCGAGTTCGGTTGAAAACCGCGCTCAAGAACCCTAAAATACCGAAAATTGGGGGGTACCCTTACATGGGGGCCACCCGAAAAACTTGACCTATGTTTATAATTTTTAGTATAGAGATTTGTTACCCAATAAGAACTCAAAGTACCGAATTTCAACGAATTCGGTCGAAAAATGCGATCAATCCCCCCAAAATACCGCAAAATTGGGGGTACCCTTATATGGTGGCTATCCGAAAATATGGACCCATATTTATAATTTTTAGTTGAGAGATTTGCTACCCAAAAATACCTCAATGTACCAAATTTCAGCGGATTCAGTTGAAAAACGCGCTCAAGAACCCCAAAATACCGAAAATTTGGGGGTACCCTTACTAGCATATGTCCGCAACTTCGTTAGCGAATGTGAGAACTATTTAACCATGTCTTAATACATTATTTCGTTTTCACAGAGAACTACATAATCAGAAGAGCTAATCGCACTACACACCAATATTGACCCTAATTAAAATTTTAGTACCATTTAGTTATCTTGTTCTCTTATAGTATGTATTTCCAAAACAATCTCTATATCTCAACACTACACACCAATTCTGACCGCAACAGCAATGTAGCTCTATACTAATTTTGGTACTATTTATTACCTTTCGTACTCTTGAAGTACTTATTTTCAAATTGCATTATTTGAGTTCTATAGGTTAACCCAAATCTTAATTTTACTAAATTTAGAACCATTTAGTATACATTAATATAAATCCAATAGAAATCATATTTCCCAATTAGTATGAATTTTCAAAACTTCCTATACACCCCAATCCTACATCACAACAATGATCCTAACTCAATATTTTAGAATTCGAGCTCTATCGGTTCACCCAAAATTTAGATTATACCAAATTTATTACACAATAGTATGAATTTCCAAGATTTCCTACGCAGCCCAATCGTGCACCCCAGAGTGATCCTAACTTCAAATTAGTGCACATTAGTAAAAAATGTCCAAAACTTCCTACATATCCCAATCCAGAATTCAGTGTTCTAGCTCTATCGGTTCACCCAAATCCAAATTTGGTACCATTTAGTACACACTCCAAATTTAAGGATCCAACCTCTATAGGCCCATCAAAAATTCAAATTGTACCAAATTGAGTACCATTATGTACCCATAAGTATGAATTTCCAGAACTACATCCACACCTCAATACTACACTTCATCCAAATATAGTACCATTTAGTACTTTTCATGCACATAATTACATATTTTCAAAAGTACCTCCGGCGGTAATGTTAATTTCTAATTTCAGGATTCCAGTTCCGTCCATTCCTCAAAATTCAAATTGTACCAAATTTAGTACCGTTTAGTACTTTTCGTATACATGGCAACACACTTCCAAAACCATCTCCTAATATCGACCCTACTTCTCAACCTTAATTCGCATTCTAGATTTCAAGTTTTTAGCTCTATCCGTTCACATGCTACGAAATTGCACCAAATTTAGTACATTTTAGTATTTTTCGGATACTTATAGTTCGAATGTCCATATTCTACTCTCCATCAATGACCCTCAATCCAAATTTGAGAATTCTAACTGCACCGGTTAGCCAAATACAAATGGTACTTTTTATGACATTTCGTGCCGTTCTGACCCCTTTAGACTAAGAGTTACCCCCACATGAGTGTGTTTCATGGATATGTGGTGATTAGAAGTAGAGAAGCCCTAGAGAAAATTTGTTTTGTTTTTCCAAGTAGTATAACTAATATTCTTCATTCAGACTGTTTTCTTGATCCATTGATTCCACATTTAGGAAAATGTCATTATTCTTCTAAAATCGAATTATTCCCTAATAGGGAATAATTCGAATTATTCCCAAAATTTTGTTACACACTGTAATGAAAACAAACATGTTTTCTTTTTTTTCATTTGTGCACATAACCATATATAATTTATGACGTACAATATTTTCATGCAAGACTGGGCTGTGGACATTATCTACTTTGAAATTTAATTCATTAGAATAAAAGCAAATGTTGTTGTACAAGTAAAGCTTTTAAATGGCAAAACTGGTTTCGTCTATTTTCACCAACATTTCATGCACTCACATACACCAACAACAAAAACCAAAATCAAAACAACAAGAAAACTTTAATACTTTAAGGAAAGAATTGACGAACGAACCAAACAACCACACACTCACTCACACAATGATTTTCAACTTTCCATTTATAGGTGGCCGATACACCACAGGAAGTGCCATTCCTTAGTATACTGCAACATTTGTTGCGAATTGATCCAAAAGAACACGTTAGTGATGTTGTCTGGGATACAACCGAAAAACTGGTACATCGAGCAACTCTATTAGAAAGTCATGAAGATTCGGTGCGTCTGTTACGCACGACGACTGCTCAAAAATTCACCTGTCCCAATTGTCGCAGTGATGCTGTGAGTCCGACACGTAAACCGAATGCTACGACCATAGCTCCACCTCCGCCACCACCACCAGCTCCCGCACCGCCCCCACCACCACCAGGTTGTGGTAAGGTGGGCGGTAGTGTAGCAGGAGGAGCTCCACCGCCACCACCACCCCCCATGACCATGTGCAATGGGCCACCAGCGCCGCCACCTATACCCGGAGCACCACCAGCTCCTCCGCCCGTTGGAAATTTACTCTCTGCTAAGACAACAATGCCTGCCCGTTCACTAACACCCGAGCCACGTCTCGCGGATGTGTTACTGCCGCAACAGGATACACCGGCACCAAAGGCGAAAATGAAAACCCTCAACTGGGGTAAGATTCCACCACACAAAGTGATTGGCAAACAAAATCTATGGACAATTGTGGCCCACAATCATCAGGACACAACAATGGAAGATATCGATTGGAATGAAATGGAAGGACTCTTCTGTCTGCAATCCACAAGTGCTCAAGGTTCACCAAAATTGGGTAGAGCCGATCCCTCGGCTGGGGCCAGTAGCAGTGGTTATGATACACTCGATCGTAAATCGAAAAAGGAGAGCACAGAAATTAATTTACTTGATGGCAAGAGGACACTGAATGTCAATATATTTTTGAAACAGTTTAAGGGGTAAGTGAACGTTTTTTTATGTTTATTTGAAAAAGATCTAAAATTTTAATTTTGTTTTAATTTTTATAGATATAATTCCAATGAAGATATTGTCCAACTAATACAGGATGGCAATCATGAGGTGATAGGAGCCGAAAAACTCCGTGGCCTATTGAAAATTCTTCCCGAAGTCGATGAAATAGATTTGTTAAAGACTTTCAATGGTGATCGTCAACGTTTGGGTAGAGCTGAAAAGTTTCTTCTGCTTCTTATGGAGGTTCCAAGGTAAGTAAAGGTGTTAAACGCTATTATGTGGTTTGATTGAAAAAGTATACAACAACATTAACTGACATTAATGTAGTAGGAATCTGTATATCTGGATCTGAAAAGTTCGTTTTGTCAATATACTTGATATTGATAAATAAACGAACAAAACCAAAGGCCACCGTTAGGGCTCCATTTTCGGTTGTAGACATATTGGTAATCGGGGTTTTTGTAGAGTAAAAGGCTTTCTGGTTTTATTTTTGGCTCATACGAATAAATCCATGATTCGTCCCATGACGATAGGATATATCGGTCAACTTTTTAGGGTAGCGTTCATACTACCCATAGCAAACAATATTCGGTATTTCGGAGATGTTTGGAATGGTTTTCAAACGATTTGGCTATAATTTAGTATTTTTATACCCCAAAAGTTTGTAACGCCGCGAAATATTGGTCCTACCCACCTTTAAGTATACCGATCGTCATATCTCGACTAGCTGAGCCGATCTAGACATGTGTGTCCGTCCGTCCGTCTGTCCGTCTGTCCATTATAATTTGTAAACACGATACAGGCCACAGTTATGGACCAATCTTCACGAAATTTTGCATGCAGGATGGGTTTTGGCCAATGAACACCCCTATTGTTTTTGGAAAAGATCGGTTAATATTTAGGGGATGAAATGGACCAAAAACTTTATTTTTGACGGTTTTTCTGGTCGCTCCAGAGGCCGCAATTATGGCCCAAACACCGGACCGGGCCAAAGAATAAGCCTGCCTGTTTTGATACAGATCTGTCAATATTTAGCGGGTCCAAAGAACCCTAACTTTTGTGTGAAAAATTACAAAATTTGTATTCTATAGCGTATATATTTACCACTGAAGGACATAGACCCGAGAAGTTGATAGTATATCCAAGGGGCGTGGTTGACCTTTCAATTTATACCAATTATATTGTCGTAGGTACTCGGATGCGGGAGTTACACTTAAATATTTACAGGTGCTTACGTATTCATATATTATTTAGTAACCTAATACCACACTGGAGGGCGGAAATATAGCGCTGATCGCTTTGAAATGTTCCATGAGGTTGCAGTTATGGTCAAGGACAACGCCTAAAATGTTAGGTGACGATCAGATAATATTTTTCGGATGAAGTAATTAGGGGTGCTGTACTGATTATTAGTAACATTTGCTGACCTCTAGCCAGTCAAAAGTGTGCAAATATCGCGAAATATTGCCCAATCTCAGAATATAGAACCACAGAAATTAGATTTTCATGGAAGTTGTGTAGGGTATCGTATGGTCGGCCCCGTCCGACTATACTGCTCCTCTCACTGGTTGATTCTAATAAGGTAATATATCTTTCTACCAAAAATGATCCGTATAGGTTACGTACCTCTCAAATTTCGATATTTTAAAGATGTTGATTGCATTTTCAACCGAATTGCATGTACACCAAAAATGATCAATATTGCTCCCCCGCCATATAAGACTACCCCTATCATCCGGTGTCTCGGAGATTATGGACTATTTTTCTAACCTAATCAAATGTGAAATCTGCCTACCAAACATTTACCATGGCCCGCCATATATAAAAACCCCGAACGATTACAGGTATTTTAAATGTCCACTCCTTCCTGGAGGGTATGAAAAGTGCACAAGACAAAATCTACGTTATTGGGCCAAATAAATCAGCTGTTTAGATATAAACCAGTAAGGAAAGTAGTAAAGTCGGACTGGGCCGACTATATGATACCCTTCGCCACTTTGGGTATATTGTACATATGTATCCTTACAATTGGTGCACCATTTATGTAAAATCGGACGAATATATCTGTATATGTGGGAACTATATGGAAATCTGAACCGATTTTTCCGAAACCTACTACACAGTATTCTAGACTCAATTCGGTACGATATGCCAAATTTCGTCCAAATCGAATGATAAATAGGGACTTTTGTGCACCATTTACATTTAATCGGACGAAAATATATATGGGAGCTATATCGAAATCTGAACCATTTTTCCCGAAACTCACCACCCATCATTCCAGACTTAATTTAGTACTCTATGTCAAATTTCGTGCAAATCGAAGGATATATAGGAACTTTAGCGCACTATTTACCTAAAATCGGAAGAAAAAATATATGGGATCTATATTTAAATCTGAACCGATTTTCACGAAACATAACACACATCACTATAGATTTAATTTATTACGCTATGCTAAATTTCGTGCAAATCAAAAGATATATAGGTACTTTGGTGCACCATTTACCTTAAATCGGACGAAAATATATATGGCACCTATATCTAAATCTGAACCGTTTTTCCCCATTTCAGTAGGGTTCGTCCTTGGGCCAAATAAATCAGCTGTGCCAAATATCATTCAATTCGAATAAAAAATTCGATCTGTAATTTGTTTACAATTTAACATGGACGGACATGCATAAATCGACTTAAAAAGTTATTCGATGCATATTCTCAAAAGGAACCATGTGTCTATCTAGTTTCCTTTTGGCTGTTACAAACATATGCACAAATACATGAGACAACTCATAACATTAATATTGTTCTTAATTTTTAGCTATAAACTGCGCATTGAGAGTATGTTGCTGAAGGAAGAATTTGCTGCCAATGTTACATATCTGGACCCCTGTATCAACACCATGATTGAAGCGGCCGAAGGTGAGTCGATGTGAACAAAATAATGTTCCCCTTTGAAATATTAAATCATAATGTTTATTTTCAGATCTCATGAATTGTCGATCTCTACAAGAAGTCCTCTACTTGGTTGTGGTGGCTGGTAATTTCTTAAATTCCGGTGGTTATGCTGGTAATGCTGTGGGCGTTAAGCTGTCCTCACTGACCAAACTAACCGATATCCGAGCAAATAAACCCGGCATGAATCTAATTCACTTTGTGGCCATACAAGCTGAAAAACGTGATGCCTCATTACTGAATTTCACCAATGAATTAAGTAATTTAGAAAGTGCTTCCAAGTAAGTAAATGGATTTAAAACCCGATTTTACAAATAATTCTAATGTTTGCGTTTTATTCCCCCTTTTCCAGAACTAATTTAGAACAAATTGGCATTGATATCAAGAATCTAGATTCTCAATTACAAAAAATCAAACGGCAAATCGAAATGCCCAATACCGATGAAGATATTAAAGAACAAATGTTGGAATTCTTACAAAGTGCCGAGGGTGAAATGACGGTACTAAAGGCCGGCATGGATGCTGTAGATAATATGCGTCTGAAGTTGGCCGATTTCTTTTGTGAAGACCCGGCCACCTTTAGATTGGAGGAATGCTTTAAAATATTACAAACATTCTGTGATAAATTCAAGCAAGCCGTTAAGGAAAATGAACGGCGCCAACAGTTGGAGGAACAGGCCAGTATAAGACAAAAACAACGGGAAGAACAATTGGCCAGGAGAGCCAAATATGGTAAGGATATCTATACAGAAAACATTTTGAGATTTTCAAAATCTGAATTATTTTTTTCTGGAATTTGTTTTACAGCCACCCTTAATGGCACCCCCAGCTCTGATTTCGATAGTCAATTTTCATTGGATTCTCCCTTTGATCCTAGAGCTAGTCCGGCATTGTCACGCAAACGTTATGGCAGCTTTAACAACGGCAGTAATGTGGAGGTCAATAATAGCTTTATACGTTCCGAGGCCACAAATGGTCACTGTGATGGCCAATCACCGGATATAACACCAAATGGCAGTATGCGAAGACGCCGCAGTCGTGTGCTAAATGAAGAAGATGATTTAATGGAATTTTTACGTACCTCAGGACATGAACGCAATAGCCGAGAGAGGAAGGCAGCTTATGGTAGTTTGGGTAGGAAGTCTTTGAAAAAATTTTTGATTTCTTGGATTAATGAATTTTCGATTTTTTATTTTTAGATCGTTCATGGGCACGTCGTGCTCGTTCCGGAAGTTCTAGTCGCAAACGTCCAGATTTATTAAATATTGATTTTGGAGCAGATAGAGAGCGGGCCGCTTCTCCCTTACCCATTAATGTGGTGGAGAAAAATTCTCCACTCTCGCCGAACAATGGAGAAATTGTTCAAACGAACAATAATGACGAAACTAAACCAAGGTGAGTGTGAGAGAGGCGGAGAGGTAAATTACAGGATTAATTTTCATGATCAATGGAGAGGTTGTTTAAAAACAAGAGAGGTGATCCCAATACGGCGTACCTTCATTATTGCTTAAAATTGATATATTCTGAAACCGGGCGCTCATCTTAATTACAAATTTTTATTGCGTACCCACATATATTGTGGGGGTATTATAAGTTTGTGTGGCCCAAGGCCGGAATCGATCTTGCAATGTTTCCGGACTTCCATCCGGCTGTTCGTAATTAAAAACAGGCCGCAGTTATTGACCGATCGTCACGAAATTTTGCGTGTAGGTTGGGTTAGTACCAAAGGCGATTCCTATGTCATGGAGAGGGGATTACTAAAGACGACTCTTATACTGACCATGGTCAATTACGACCAGAACATCTCGAAATGTTACATGGGACTGGTCTGGCTAACTATGGAGAGATTTTATCAAAACTAGGGAACTTGAACTTGGTTGATGTCGTAACAGGTTGGCTTTTGGTGAAAGTTACGGAAAGAACGGTACAAGGAAATGGAAAATTTATTAATAAGGAATTTGTATTCGAAGAGGGTAGCCGGAGAAACTGTGCCACCTGTGTTGAATTTAGCCAAAAGTCTATAGATTTGTAGGCTTTGCTGACAGGAGGGACACATATTTGAGATTCCGGAGACAATGCGCTCTCGATACGAATTGAGAACATTGCTGTACCCGGATCTTAGTTGTGCCAGAATCTAATGGGTTTGCTACGATTAAGTCTCTCACTGTCCGAAATTACAGGAGAATGTTGAGTAGGACTTTATGGCATCTGAAGCCATTTTACTATCGACAATCTGTTAACGTTCGATGGAATGCCGAATTGGATGCCTTCCCGACAGCGCCTGAAGTCCTGATGGATGTGTCGGTGGATCTGCCATCACTGTGTGATGGTTGGGATAACACGGCAGATAGCATCTGGTCTCTGACAGCATCCTGGTCTCCTCATGGAGTTGATCGACGCTCGTAATCTGGACACATGCGGTTGCAATTCGGAGTGCATTATTTTGTGTTGTCAAAGTTAGCGCCGGACAAAATAACCGTCCTGTCATCGGCGTACGACACCACTAAAACATCTGGTGGAGGAATGAGTAGATTATAAGACTGACACAATTATTTGTTCAGGTGGTCGTCGCAAATTGAGATATTCACAAGCTTGAAAGTAATTTCATTAAAAGCAAGAACGGAATGCTGTTTCAGGGATGGATGCATTAGAGACTCTAAAATCTTGGCTACTGGTGAAAGAAGAAAAATCGGGCGGTAGGATTACCCCTTAGGAGCGGATGGACCTTTTCTTTCCAAATATCAGGAATTACCAATTGTGACATCGATAACTCGAGAATTTTGGTCGGATAACCCAGCCCTATTGCACCAAGGATTTGGTTGGCTTGGATTTGGAGATAATTGCCTCTACCTCGCTGAATGGGAATGATAGGGGTTGCAAATCTATTTTAAGATTCTTGCATTTCCGTATAACTGCTCACTTGGTCCTTTTCTTGGACTTGGTAGTGGAGTGTTTTATCATATGAACGACTTTGTCCGACAATACTGGTCCGCCTATTGATTTTGTAGTAATATTTCATCCAAGATTAGTTTAGCCAACGAAAAATAAAAGGCGAAAAGTATACGAATCCGCTTGGGCTTATCAACCCATTCTAGACAACCCATGACTAGAAATAAAATTTGACAGTGGTAACCCTTAATTTTCTATTAATTTTTATAATTCTTTTTTTCAGAATATCTCGTGAATGGCGTCAAAAAATCGAAAATTGGTTACAATCGAACGAAAACGATGAAAAACAAGACGAGGAATACAAACGTAAGCGACGTTTGGTTAACATTAATAGGCGTTCGCTTGAAAACGAGTCAGGTAAATATTCAAACCCTACCATAATCATCATTAGGATTTTATTAAATTAACTGTTTTATTTTTTATTTATTTCTGCAGAAAGCGAACGAAAATTGGATACCTTACCCGAAGAGAAATTTGTACCAACTACACCGAACTCTTGTACTAAAACATCTAATCAAACACTAACCAATAACAATGTTACTAATACGAATAATCGTGATGGCTATAAACGCGTCTATCCCGATTGGAAACCATCGAAGACCTTGGAAACGGATGTTGTCGGTACCATAGAAGCTATTGCAAGTAAGTATATATATTTTTTTAATTTTAATAAATAGCACTACTAAACAATTTACCCTCACACCTAATTTTTTCACTTTAGATGTCAATGATGCCCGAGAAAATACGAAGAAGCAATTGGAAAAACCAAGCATATCGGAATCAGATTTAAGCTCCATAAAGCCATATACACCACCACCATCATCATCATCGTCACACAAATACTCAACACCCTATACAAATTGCGAAGAAGTTGTCTATCGAAGACAACGTTCCGGCGAGAATAATCCAATGCAACTGGATCCCATTGCCGAGGAGGATCGCCGCAAATCGTTAATAGCTCAACAACAATTGATTGAGAAAGAGGCCAATGAACGTCTGCAAATATATATACGTTCGCCTACGACGCCGGCGTCAGCGGAACGTAATTCTGTCGAAACAACTCAATCGCATCATCAACCTGCAACAGTATCACAAAATTCGACAACTGTCAATGAAAAACCAACATCTGCAGCTAGTAGTACCAAAGTTAATAATGTCGACAGACATAAATCCAAATCACCATCGCCATCATTCCAAACAAATCGAATCCATTCTGATAATACCTCAATGAATTGCAATGACATGTACACCTCGAAACGCAAAGAAATCGATGCGGATAACATTGAAACGCCACCCGCACCCCGGAGAATCATATCTAGTCCCACAACCACATTGGTGACGGTCAATAGGCCGGACGCTAAACCAGCTCAGGTTGAAGCAACGGAAAGAAATACAAGTGGTAATGACATGGAATCAACTGAAACACCTGGTCACTTTGATCGCTATTCCATAGCCCGACGCACCAGACGTTATAAACGACCAACTGACTACAGTAGTGGAAATGAAGAACTAACTTCAGCCAAAGATTCAAGTGAGGAAAATTCACTAAACCAAATAAATAAATCCGAAGAAATTCCCAAGGAAGTGTCCCCAGTGCCGGCTCCAGTAGCCACAAAGTTGGAAGATATCACAAAACCCGATAAACCAAAACGTATTTCGGCTAGAACTATTACAAAATTGGAGAAAGTCGGACGACATATTAGTTCCATAAATCAGGAGGATGTCCAAGAGGCATTACGCAACCTCAAATCACCCACTGATGTGCCCGAACGCCTATGGAGTCCGCCTCGAGAAATAATCAGTCAACGATCATCAAATCTGGCCACAACAACAGCCAACGGAAGCACCATTATCAAGGTATCGAATCACGAACTGAACGATGAAGGTTTTGAAGAAACACAAAGTCTAGTCTCAGATACACCATCTCAAGGTAAAGAGAGTGTAAATTCCTCTTGCAATGAAACCAATGAAATTAGTAAATTGTCACAAAAACCAGTATCACAAAAAGTCACGCCAATACAGAAAATCTCCAGCCGATTGGCGGATAGATTACAAATCTCTCGTCTACGTTCCACATCATCCAAGTCACAAACAAATGCACCGGGTTCAGGGTCATCGACGACAGGTACAGCGCGGAGAACCCCTTCAGCGTCCGTGGATCGTTCGAGAACAACACGTTCGACAAATGGACCAGCTGTACATGGGCCAGCAAGTTCAACAGCTGCGGCCCATATGAGTAACTTCACGAATAATGCCATACGAAGAGCTACCTCTTTGCGCAAGACACTGCCACAGGCAGGTGAAGCAGCATCAATGGCCAATAAACGTGATGTTGAACGTAGTAGTTCACGTAACAGTTTGCGGTCTTCACGCTCCTCGATAAACAGTGCCACCTCGACGAATACGGTGAAACGTATGCCGCTTGGCATTGGAAATAACAAAAGTCCCCTACAGACGGTATCCGTAGATTCGTCACCCAGCAAACGTCCATTGGGTACACAAAATATTCGTACAGGTGTGAATCGTTTGGCAGCCGGGGTACCCGCCAGTCGCTCAAGTTCTAGTGGTTCGAGTGTGGGGCCCAGTGTTGTTGTGGTTAGGAATAGAATAACTCCTGGATCGCAACGCCAAGCGTCACATACCAGTCTTGGAAATAGCACAAGTTTCAAGGAAAATCAAACAAATATCGGCTCATCAAGACCACAAACGGCACGTTCGGCAATTTTGGTAAAAGCCACCATTACGAATCCCTCACAGTCTACATCACAACAACAGCAGCAGCAGCAACAGCGTGGTGCAACATCTCGCAGTAATTCAAGTGTACGTTCATCCAGTAGTTTTATGAGACCAACAGCTTCCAGCGCTACAAAACGTTCGAAGTAAAATAGCTGGATTGAGTTAAGGGTGAGACTATAAATAGCTTACCATTACAAAAACAGGAAATTTTATAAACACAGGGAAAAAGATAACAAATATTGGTTTCCTATTCCGATGTCGTGTTGAGTAATTTTATTTTCTCAAAGCGTTAGACGTTTTTCTGTCTGGTTTATTGAGAAAAGAGTATAAAATTGGAACTCTTATCATGTCACTATAGAGCATTATAACACGGTAATAGACCTAAGGAAATTTCTCTCTTTTGAAAAATAATGCCTCTTTTGTGTCAGGACTAAAGTTGAAAATATATGTAGGTTTATGTTTGTAATGGTAAGGAACGTTTTTGCAGTGTTCTTCATTTTTTAATCTTCATTATTTCTAAGCAGTCCCGAAAATAGTTCAGGTTCACAATTTGTCAAAAACATTCCCGCAAACAGTGTAATTATATGAGGGTTCGCCTGATTTTTGAGTTTTGTGAACTTTTAACCTAATTTCCAAATTTATTGCCTGCCTGCACATTTCTAATTCTCAATGGGCTCCATGTTTCAGTCTTTAATTTAGCATTTCAGATTAGTGTTAAATCATTTCAAATATAGTCAAAACATTAATTTTAAAATGAATTGACTACAAAATAATGTGGGCACTTGCTTTGTAAAAGAAAAACATTACTCAACACAAAGAAACCTTATTAAAAAATACAAATATCAGCAACTTTAAACACACACATAGAATATTTTTACAATCGCTTAAGAAAAAAAAAAACCTTAAATGAAACCAAAAAATAAATACGTCCTTTAATTACCAAAACCAAAAGAAAAAATCAAATAAATCCGAATAAAAACAAACCGTCCAAAAATTGTTAAAACTTGTTCAAATCAAAAAAAAATCTACTTTACATATACATAAAAAATCTACTCCATCCCGATTTTTGATGATATTGTTAATCCTAATATATTTCGAATGCAAGTAAATGCCAATAATATGAATATATGAAAATTTACATAGAGTTTACATGAAAATTAAAATTACAAAAAATTAAAAAGCAATAAAAGAAACAAAATTTTGAGGCCAATTTTCAGAGACAAAAAATTAAATTTGGAAAGAAAAAGAATTACACTTCTACCGATCGATTTATATCTATCTAGCCACATTTGGTGTATGATACCGTAAACAATGTTTCAATGTAGTGGTGTAGATTATTTTTGTATAAACCATCAATTTCTCCAACTTCCAATTTCGATTTTTTTTTTTTTTGGGTTTTCGTTGTTTCCTTTGTTATTAGTTCTTCGAATAATATAGGCCTAGAGATAAATGTTTTAGACCGACCATTGGTTATTTAGATGTTAAGAAAACCAACCAATTTTTGAGATAAAAAAATGAAACAGATAATGTGGTGCAACAAAATAATATTAGGACACGTCCAAAGTCACAACAACAAAACCAATCAATTGTTTTTAAACAGGAAATTTACAAAGCAATTTTATACAAAACTGAAAATAATTATAATAATATTAACATTAAATACTTTCCATATGTAAAAGACATTGTTAATTTTTTTTAACACTAACTAAGATTCTTGGTAATCAGTCGATTTAGATTTACACACACACACAAACAAAAATAACAAGTAATGATATTTTTAGGCTCTAAGAAAAATATAGATCAGAATGGATTTCCTTAAATAAAAACAAAAGAAAACACAAATAGTTTAAGGCAATAAATTGTAAAACTTAATTTTAATTTACTTTTTCTAATTTAATTTAAGAAGCTAATTTTTATTATTTTTTTTAATGATTATAAAACACTTTTTTGTAACAAAACTTACACAATTTTACAATAAACAAATATTACTAAATTATGTTTAAGCCTACAATCTATAAATTATTAATAAAAATACCAATTTGTTTAATAAGTCATTTTTTTTAATTGTAATTAGTAATTAAGCTCATCAAGAAAGAGAAATTAAACTCACCTTATCCTTAATCAAATCATAACACCAATCGAAATTATTTTAGTTTTAATACAAATAAACAAAATAATTAAAGAAATCTGTTAACAATTCTAATAAAAATAACAAACAATAAAACTAAATGTCATCAAATTGTGTATGTTGACAGTTTTTTTTCTAAAATTTAATTTATTATTTTCTTAATTGTTAATAATTTTTTTGATACAATTTCCATAATTTGTAAAACTGAATCTAATATTAAATAACAAAGAAGCAAACAAACAAAATTATCAAATAAGTCGTTAAAAATGTATGAGAAAAAGAATTAATACAATAAAATTCAATTATATAAAAAATAAAAATTATTTGACAATTTCAATAATTATACCCTTCACCACACTGTGGTACAGGGTATTATGCCTTCGTGTATATGTTTGTAACAAGCAAAACCAGTAAGGGAAGTAGTAAAGTCGGGCGGGGCCGACCATATGATACCCTTCACCACTTTGGCTATATTCAACACATGAATCGTAACAGACGTCGCCTTTTTAAAGGCCTAGTAAAATAAATGGGATCCATAAACATGTCATTCTGGAACCGACACTAAATTTTCATTTGGTCAGATATAGAAGTTATATCTAAATCTGAACCCATTTTCAGGAAACTTAACACACATCATTCTATAACTAATTCATTACGCTGTGCCAAATACTGTACCGAAAATTGGGGGTACCCTTATATGGGGGCTACCCGAAAAAATTTACCTATATTTATAACTAGCTGGACCCGTGGCGCTTCGCTGTCCCTACTTAAGTATTAACACAGGGTAGTCCACGTAAATGCAATATTTTTTTAAAGAACCTACCATTTGATGGAATTTACCCTTCTGCAAAACCTACTGCAGTACCCTTCATTCCCATTACCACCTACTTTTATTTCCGTATTTTCAGCAGTTTAACCATAATATGATTTGGATCCCTTTCTCGCTCCGATTAATATCACAAAGATCCTTGCTGCATAATCCTTGCTAGCTTAAAATTTTGTATCTTTGTTTTATTGCCAAAAATAGGTTTCAAAAAGAATACATCATCACAACTTTATATTTTTACCGAACTTAGATATAGATATATATAATTGGACTTACCACGTAATTCCATGGTATTTTTAAGAAACTAAGATCAATTCCGAAGATGAAGTGACAATTAAGTTACTCATAATCATTTCAAGTTAGCTGTGATGATAATCCACCAGAGATTTTTGAATCTTATAACTCTTTATCCAAAATCCGTCTTTTTGCATTTGTATATCTCACTTATACTGTTGATACATACTTTTATAGAATTAATACGCCTTTTCCCCAATAGATGAAACCTAAAAACAAAACAAAATCTAAAATTGAAATGTTTATACCCTTCGCCACACTGTGGTACAGGGTATTATGTCTTTGTGCATATGTTTGTAACAGACAAAAGGAAACGAGATAGACACATGGTTCCTTTTGAGAATATGCATAGAATCACTTTCTAAGTCGATTTATGCATGTCTGTCCGTCTGTATGTCTGTCTGTCCATTTTAAATTGTAAACAAAGTACAGGTCGCATTTATGATCCGAATTGGATGAAATTTGGCATAGGTCACTTATTCGGCCCAAGGACGAACCCTATTGAAATTGGGAAAAATCGGTTCAGATTTAGATATAGCTCCCATATATATATTTAACCGATTTAATGTAAACGGTCCCTATATATCTTTCGATTTGCACGAAATTTGGTACAGCCTAATCATTTAGGTTTAGAATGATGTCTGCCAAGTTTCGTGAAAATCGGTCCAGATTTAGATATAGCTCCCATATATAGTTTAGTCCGATTTCATGTAAATGGTGCCACAAAGTCCCTATATATCTTTTGATTTGCACGAAATTTGGTATAACGTGCTGAATTAAGCCTAGAGTGATGTATGCCAAGTTTGGAGAAAATCGGTCCAGATTTAGATATAGCTCCCATATATAGTTTCGTCCGATTTCATGTAAATGGTGCCCCAAAGTCCCTATATATCTTTCGATTTGCACGAAATTTGGTACAGCCTAATCATTTAGGTCTAGAATGATGTCTGCCAAGTTTCGTGAAAATCGGTCCAGATTTAGATATAGCTCCCATATATAGTTTCGTCCGATTTCATGTAAATGGTGCCCCAAAGTCCCTATATATCTTTTGATTTGCACGAAATTTGGTATAACGTGCTGAATTAAGCTAGAGTGATGTATGCCAAGTTTGGAGAAAATCGGTCAAGATTTAGATATAGCTCCCATATATAGTTTCGTCCGATTTCATGTAAATGGTGCCCCAAAGTCCCTATATATCTTTCGATTTGCACGAAATTTGGTACAGCCTAATCATTTAGGTCTAGAATGATGTCTGCCAAGTTTCGTGAAAATCGGTCAAGATTTAGATATAGCTCCCATATATAGTACCGTCCGATTTCATGTAAATGGTGCCCAAAGTCCCTATATATCTTTTGATTGGCACGAAATTTGGCATAACGTACTGAATTAAGCCTAGAGTGATGTCTGCCAAGTTTGGAGAAAATCGGTCCAGATTTAGATATAGCTCCCATATATAGTTTCGTCCGATTTGATGTAAATGGTCCACCAAAGTCGCTAAATATCTTTCGATTTGCACAAATTTTGGCATAACGTACTGAATTGAGTCGAGAATGATGTCTGCCAAGTTTCGTGAAAATAGGTCAAGATTTAGATATAGCTCCCATATATAGTTTCGTCCGATTTCATGTAAATGGTGCACCAAAGTCCCTATATATCCTTCGATTTGCACGAAATTTGGCATAACGTACTTAATTGAGCCTAGAATGATGTCTGCCAAGTTTCGTGAAAATCGGTCCAGATTTAGATATAGCTCCCTTTTATTATAGATTAATTTTAAGTAATTGACGTACTAAGGAATCAATAGGAACAAAACGTTCTGAAATTAGTATAACCTAACCTGTGACAAGTTTGTTTGACATCGCTCAATATTTGGATAGAGCTTCCATATATATTTTCGCCCGAT